AATCAAAATCTGCCAAATAAGTATGTTTTGAAGGGCAAAGAGCTTGTAGCGACGTTGATAAAGGGGGAATGTATAAAAATGTATAATGAGCCACTACGTTGGACTCAAAGCTAATAAGAGTGTTCATTTCTTTTTGTGTGCATTGTAGAGCTAAAATATTGTGATAGTTATTCTTTTGTCCTTCTCCCCTAAGATCTTTTCAACTCGTGACTAAACAAATGCGCATTTGAAGCATTCCTTTCTTAGTATTGCTCACAAATAGATGCTTCTAAGCGGATGCTTCTCAATAACTTCGTAATTCACGTTCCCCCCCCCACATCACATACCATTTTGTCCCTCAGTGGACTGATTGTAAAGACGCTGTTCCCAGTAAAACATCGAAGACAAGCATCACTGGCTGTGGTCAGTGAGCGGTTGGGTGACCACTTTGATCAGTCTGTGTAGTTACCGAGGATGCGTGGTATCGGTCCTCGTTGAAATGTTTTACCGTAAAGTGCTCGACTTCGTGCAGGTCGTGCAGGCCTACCAAAGCAGGGGAGTCATCCCCTCTGCAGAGGATCAAAATAACAATGACATGTCTTCGGATCATCCTCAGGGATGTTTCCCAATAGCCCACTGTGAAGTTCTAGTTCGACGTTAATAATGTACCAACCAACTTACATAAATAATTTTCGAGAAATGAACGTTAAATCTGCACTTTTCCGAAAAATAGAGCTGTAAGCTATCTCATCCTTAGACACTCAGTCGATTTACTTCAACCCAGACACCATTTCTGCAACAAATAGTTGAAGCTAGTTAAAATTTAAGTGAGCTTAGTTAAATAAGTGACTTAAGCGAGCATCCTGTTATGCTCACTCGTAATACTCACTTCACAAACATCTTTAAATCTTTCATCGGAGAGGCATGCCAAAGAAAAATATCCGTCCTTCGTTTTGTATGCCTCGTAGGGCACAAGAACGTCACTCAAGGTTCCCAAGCGACAAGTATCCATCCCAGCATTCAAGTAATAGTTTGCGATGTAGGAGAGGGCAGACAACTACAAAACAACATATCATTGTCAATGGTTTTTTAATTTAAAAAAAATTAAACTAAACTAGTCAGAAGTTAAAAGCAATGGTAAATTGGAGCACTTAGTGGGAAAAGCTTTTTGATTGCATGTTAGTGGATTCATTTAGAAAAGAAAAAAAAAGGTTTAGAGTGGAAGAAGTAGGAAGTGGGCAACTTCTCCTTTTCTGTTCCAGTACTTCAATGCGTTATCTTGCGGTGATCCAAGAAAAACAGGTAAAACTTACGCTTTTTACAGATAGCAAATTTTTTACTGCAATTAACGCTCGATATAAAGAGCTCCTTACGTTCAAACGAAAACGCCACACTTTTGAAAATGAAACTCTTACTTCTGAAGATTCAGCAATCCTTGAGCTGTATTTCATCAATTTTGAGAACCATTTCTTCTCGAAATCATGAAGTTTGTGACAAAACGGGAACTCTCAAATATATAACGAAAATGTTTCTTCGACACGGAACCTCATTGCAGTGCATTGTGGGAGATTGTTGACCAAAATGACGAAACTAGAATTAAGACTAGACGATCGAAAATAGAGTGACGAAACAAGCCGACTGAATGGATTGAATCAAGGAGTTGATCACGTACCAGAAAGATCTCAGGCTCGAATTCTATATATATATA